AGAATTTAGTTTTGCAACAATCCATATAATTTACTATGGTCTAGCGGATGCAGTAGTCCTGTATCAACATTAGTGTAAAACCATCAGACTGTTTTCTGAGCATTTGCAGTACCCATAGTTATTTTTCTCTTGTATAGGCAGGTGTCTTTATTATGCTAGTTGAATTTTCTGTTTAGAGTCATATAATTTTTATTTGCCAAAAATAAACATTTGTTTTGCTTAAGTTTACGAAAGTATAGCAGAAGAATCTGAATTTTGGCCTAGAGTACAGCTTAACCCAGCACAGGGATGGCATGATTTCCTAAACCTATAATGGTTCTAGTTCTCATAACCCTCCCTACCTCCTCTCTCTATGTCTCTGGGGAAAGTAAGGACTATGAGAGCAGATTCAACCTTCTTAATTGTGAACCTCATTAGTGATGGTTGCCAAGCAAAACACACACCTACTTTCAATACATATGAAAGAGATAAACAATACGTCATAGACTATAATGACTGCTGTGCTCAGGGCAACCTTTAATTATTATATATTTTTTTCATTCTCTTTTACCTCACTTATTAGAGAAGAAAAACAAATGCTTTTTCTATTGCAAAGAGGATTGATACATTATTTTTTATGCCTATATTATATTTAATTTGGTTCATCACCACATGTTGTAACCATCAGTTTATTTTATTTATTTATTTAAAACTTTTTTATGCCGTCCGGCATGGAAGGCATCTCGGTTCATCTCACAATCAATGCATTCACGTTATGTATTATGTGGAACTAATTAGACAGACACAGAACCTGTGTATTATAGTAGTCCCCTTCCAGATGGCTGAGCTTGATCTTATGGTGATACTTTGTGAAAGGGTCAATCTTGTAAATCACCTGTGGCATAGGCTTTTTCCCAAAACCAGTATGCCACAGCAAGTATGGGATCAGCATGGCAAATAAACTATTGGTTCTTATACATATATAGCCTGAAAGGCCTGATTCTGCCTCATCTAAGAACCTAAGTAGTGTCAAGTCTGGTTAGAATGCGGATGGGAAACTTCAATCCTACGTTGAACAGGATGTTGGACCCGATGGCCTTCTAGGCCCCTTTCAACTGTATGACATGTTACCACTGCACCATGTCACTTAGATATTCTTTTAATCAAGTGAGACTAAAGGTATTTGTGTGTTAATTCCATGGATTGACAATATAACAATATAAAAATTGCCTGCTGAATCAGACCAATGGTGCATTACATAAGCTTCTAGTTTCCCTCAATGGCCAATCAGATATCTATCGGAAAGCCCATAGATAGAACGGTGAACAGCATGATGCTTTTGAGCCTGGAGGAAGTATTTAGTCAAATGAGTAGAAAACATCGGTAATCTTGCTGTCCATCACGAATTAGTTTACTTCCTTTAAGTCATATATACATTCTATAGTTTAACTCCGAACAGTGTGAAGAAGTATGGTGCAGAAAGAGCACAACTTTGGGCTGATTGTGGGAGTTTTGCAACAGTTATTTCAAATAATTAGACTATATTTTAATGGTTGTGGTGAAAAAAAAGATTTGTAGATTCCATGGCCTGCTTGTTCACTGACTGACTGCCAAGCAAGCAAGTGGTAGTAGTAAGAAGATAAGGAGCAATAGCAACCAGTGAAAATGGCAATGACTTAGCAGACTTAGTAACAGAGGGAACCCACTGAGGAACTGTATTCAAGGGCTCTCAAAAACCTGACATTATGTTAGTAATTCTCACATAAAAAGGCTTCCTCAGTGGGTATTTCAGGAATCTTTTCTGCATATGCATTTCAGTATGAAGAATATATTGGTTGTAGCACCTAGGGTTTAGAATCCCAAGGAGTTTTGCTTGGCTTTTTCAGTATTTTGGAAGGCTGTAAAGATAGCTCCAAGCAAGCATTTAATTGATTTAATCTGCTTATCCCTGTGTTGAATATTTTTGAGATTTTAGAGGTCATGCTGTTTGTATGTTACAGTTGTATTACTTTACACCATTGGAAATGTACCCATTACTATACATATTTATAGAAGAACATTAATAGAATTGTAGTGTATTAGTAGCTCTCTTATTTAGGTAGCTGCGTTATTAAATGCTAAATAGAGATCTGACATTACAAGTTTGCATATGTAATATGCAGGACCTGGTGTCCTGATATTGCTAACTTTTTTTTTCCTTTTGTTAATTTTAGAAAAGCAGGTGAGAAGTACATTTTACTTATACAAGTCTTCTGTGATTCCTGAATCTGTTACAGTAGGGTTCCAAGAACAGGAAAATGATCCCACAGTATATTCTTTACAGAGCTAGTTTTGAAGATCTATTTAAACTTACATGCATCATCTGAAAATGTATTTCTGGGCTGAGGATAATGACAAGCCAAGATAAAATAAAACCAAACTGAAATAGCAACAAAGAGCTATAAGCAAATAAACAAAAAAGAATGAGAGAATGGCTATATGTTGCAAAGTGTTACATGTTAAAGAAACCAAATTTAAGTCAGAAGCAAATGCAGGACCAGTAATTCTCTTTGATATGTAATCAGAAAAGCTAATGTACTATATTATAATGGGATGATCAAGAAAAGAACAGAATCATGTAAAAAGTAAATATGTTGTGTACCAACAAAAATATGGTGCAAAAAAGCATTGCAAATTAAAAAGGCATGTAAATGTGTGCCTACCATTTTCCAGATAAGAAGGGGCCGTACCTTCTGAGGGGTCAAGGCGGCGAGCCCGCCTTCCATGTTTGGAGTTGTTGTGTACAAACATGTTGTCTGAGACAGCCAGAACATGGCCATCCACATTGACTGTTGTTGATACAACAACCTGGGAGAGCAGGGGGAAGAAAAGAAAGGAAAAGAAACACATTTTCATTTTTGAAAATTAAAGGTTCAACAAAATGTGGTGCATCTGTAGAAATCTTTATTTCTGCATTTTTATTTTAAAAGACAAAGTGAAACCACAGAGTCTATCACTTTTCTATAAATGCAGTTATATTCCAAGAAACCATTCCAATATTTTGGTTATCATCGGAAATTTTCCAACTTACTGTCCTGTCCCTGCACTTCAGCACCCACTGCATTAATTATAGTTTAATCTCCTATTATGGCAGCAAATGGATTCAATTTAGGAAAAATATTCTTCTACCTTTCAGTTTCAGAAACATCCCTCTAACCACTCAATTTAAAAGCTGCTGTTTTGATTGATCTGTTGATATATTGATTAGATAGTTTATCCAATTAAAATTTGTACACTTGAGACTATCTTCAAATAAAGAGTTGTGAGCACTCCAAGTCAGTGGGAGAAAAATTCTCTGCTTCATAAATCTGTAAATATGTGTATCTCCGTTTTCTCTTCAGAGATGTTCTTTAGGTCATTTTCATAATTACATTTACCAAGTTATCCTATAAGTAGATGGGAAGATCTGAAGATGGAAGGACAGTCTTATCCATTGTCTTTGTAAACATTTATCTTGGAATAATAAACTACATTAGTTCCATATTTGGCATATTTCTTCCCCCATTTCAGGAGCATGGGGAAACTTCGGATCTTGTATATCTGTTGAAACATCCCTGGAATGCCTCTTTTTCCTGTTCTCCAATATCAGATTTCAAACTCTGGGTTTCCACAGCATTATGGAAGAAGTGTGCAAAATCAGATCTCCCACTCCAAGGGCAGACCAGTCATTTCACTTTAGGAGGAGGCATTCTGAAACATTTAATGGTCCCTGGGACAACCTCTCAGAGATCAAAAAACAGTAGGATTAATGTCTTATAATGAAATTTTGCATCTGAACAAACAAAGCTGATAGAGAAAACTAAAGGTGCTTACAATACTTGAAAAATATTCATTCTCAGGTTTTCTCAGATACAGATTGATCCTACATTGCTTTTAGAATTTCCTTCTTAAGAGCCTTAGCATGGAATAGGTAAAGTATAAGCTCTAATTAGGGGTCCAAGTGCTTCTTAGTATAAATTTTAAAAATAAATACTTAATGGCAAGTATCCTTGTCATTAAAAACTTTGACTCCATAGGCACATGAATACTACTGCAAAAATCAGTGAATGGGAAAGGAAAGCATAATTAAAAGGCTTTTCATACTGCAGTGTTGGGGTGCCTGTGGCACTTGAATTGTTGGACTACAATTTCTATCATACCTGCCCATTGATCATGCTGCCTGGGAGAGATGCAAGGCCCACAGCATTGGGTGGGCCTCATGTTACCTAAACCATGCCTATTGAAGCTCTGTGCATGCATATTTAGTACTCCATAGGTTGTGCTTGTTATCAATTAAAAAATCCCATTTGTATATATAGCCAGATCCATTAGCCTCATTTATAGAAGTCTTTCAAATGGCTCAGACAGAAGTTCTGGCTTTTACTTTGGTACCTATCAATCTGGTGCATTTATGCCAATAGAACAATTACTATAATGTTGTCTTTTTAGCTTCAGTACAGTGCTCCACCATATTAAGAAAAAGGCCAGCAATTACTGAAACAAAAAATGAAATATAAAATGGAAGTAAGGCCTTCCCATGATGACATACCAAAAAATGCAAGATATTTTCCCTTTTGAAAGCATTGAATTGCAGGCATCAGATGTAAGTGCTTTCCTATTTTCTATGTTTTAGATCACCTTTGATCCTGTTTTTTCCACCTGCTGTAATTAGCTATCAGCTATTACAGCACCTTCTCCTGTATATGCTGTTTCCTCTGAGGTAGCCATCTGTGTCCCCCTTGAGAAAAGCCTGAGGGTGTTTCTCTAGAAATCTGTAACTCTGCAGCCTGCACTGTGTTCTTGAAAGAACCAGACTGAATTGCATCTCAAGGACATCTATTATGGGGATTTCATAAAGTTGGACTTTACCTCCAACACCCCAGATTCTAGTTCCTACAGCCACATTTAGTTTAATGAGTTGATGCTTTAATGAGTTATAAAGATAACCTAATAGGCTTACCCTGTGTAAGCTGTGCAGATAACATTTTGGCTATGAGTACATCATATAAATGCCACAAATAAATAAATAATAATAAGATGACTGACACCCCCCACCCTAAAAATATATAATACTTTTAGAACTGGCATCAGCTAAGTTGCCCCTTAAATGAAGCATGCTAAGTGTTCTAAGCAGTTGTTTTTACCCATATATTTAGAGACAGATCAAATATTTAAAATATATAACACTTTTTGCTTTGTCACTTATATATAGGTCAGTAATCACAAAAGGAAAATTCTGTAGTTCAGCAAAAGTATATATACTCTCTCCATTTTACTCATTCTTTCCTGCAGTGCACCTAAAGAAAAGTGCTGACTTAGTAAAAACAAAAAAAGTTGAAAATATTGCTTAAGTTACAAGATACTGTTAAATCCACATAAACCTGTTGAGAAGTAGACATATTAGCTAAGGAAACCCAGTTTTATGTTTCTAGTGGCTCTACTGCCAAGCAAATGACTGATGTTTTATGAATTTGCTAGTGAGACGAGAGATTTCCACTCATTCCGGATTTCAACTTGTGCTCTGTTCTTATTGATAAATACTATCAATGCCATGACATGCTTAAACATTAAGATTTGGTGGATTTTTTCTGAAGTGTTGCTTTTTCCTCTTAATATACAAATACTTACTGCAGGTTGGCTAGGTTCACTCAGGCTGACTACACATAGAAATCTAAGATTTGTAATTTGTATTTGTAAGTATTTGTTCCTTTTCTTGGCCTAAATTATAAGTCTATTTGAAAATCCTATATATTTTTTAACTGTTCTCAGTTAGTAAAAACAATTATTGGTCATGGAAGATATTCCTCTAGTGTGCTTTTGGGTCATCAGATTATTTTTGGAAAACTGTTACAAGAAAAAAGTAGAAAAGAACTATTTTTTAAACTTTTATTTAAACAAAAGTTTTTTGAACTTGTACATCAGGAAAATTACAAATTTCAAGAAATTACACATTTTTCCCAACATCAAACTTAGGGATTTGAGATGTTCAAAATCTTTCTGTAGGTGAAGGATACACAAGTATCCTGAAAGCTGTATCACTCAGTGATGGGAGCCACAAGTGTGCATGCCTACACAGATGTGTGCAGGCAGGCACATATCTACACACATTGCATCTGCACATACATCCCAGCGACCCCTATAGGGCATCAGTGACTGCTTCATCTATAATGATAAAATCATCAGGGGGAATTTGTAAGCAGTGCAGGGAAGATCAGGGCACTCTAGAGAACACAGTCTGGGGGGGAGCACATGCAGCTCCTGGCTTGTACATCCCTGCTGTCCAGTATGATTATTCAATGACATGGGAAATTATTCTGACAAGCAAAATACCATCTGTAGATATTTCCAATTACTTAGTACTTTGTTCGGTCACATATAAAAATGTCTCTGTGCAGTTTAAAGCTTGAAGTCTTCTAGAACTCTCAACAGGAAAGCATGTGCTGCTTTCTCTCTCTTGGACATTCATGCATATTCTCTCTCGCTTTTTTTAAGTGGTGGTGGTGGCACTCCTGCTTAGCCCTATTCAGATCACCATAACAAGAATGGTTATGGAGGTGGAAAGAGCTCCTGCTTCTCTGCTGAGAATTTCAGAAGTTTTGAGGTCTGCACATGCTATGAAGAACTAAAAATATTACTTGTAATTCAATCTTGCCAATATTTAAAATAATTTTGAAAAGATGGCAAGTCCTTATCTGCACAATGGGTTTTCTGCGCAAGTCCTTGCAATCCTTGTCCATGTAGTCTTAATTCTTTTTGAAATCTGTACCTGGAATCTTCGCATATCTCGTGGGTTGCCTGCATTCTTCAAACAGTTTTGATTGCACTTGAGGAAAAACTTTAGAAAAAATCTACGAAAATAAAAAATAAAATTTGTTAGAGATGTCAGAGTTATAGAACAGATTTGCAAATATGCAACAGTCTATATCAACAATTTTAAATTGTGTTGCTGAAAATGGAATGTTGTTTTATTACTGTACACAGAAGTTCTTTTGTAAACTAAAGAAGTAACATTACTGATATGAACATGAACAGTCACAGCTTCCTATTTTGAGAAAAGGACAGATATTTTGTGTCAAATGTTCAAATAGTGTAATTCAGCGTAGAACAATTTCTATCTTGCCAATGCAATCCTATGCATGCTCACACAGAAGACTCAGTGTCATCGACACAACTCGCTCACTAGTAAGTATGTTTAACGTCATATGGAAATGCCTCTGTGCAGGTTAAAAAATGAAGGCTTCTAGAACTCTCAACAGGAAAGCATATGCTGCTGTCCCTTTGACAGTATGTAATCCTGTGAGAATTTATTTATGTGGGAACAAGTCCTGTGAATTTAACAGTACTTGCTTTCAAGTAAAAATGTGCAGGATTGGGCTTTAACGGTAGAATCCTATGGATGCTTAGACAGAAAAAGGCCTGCAACTCCCAGCCAAGCATGCTTTGTAGTTGTAGGCTTTTTCTTCATTTAAACATGCATAGGATTTCATATGAAAGCCATTTATTTTAAAGACCTATATTAGGTGTATTCTTAAATACATTAGTAAAGGAGTTGCTGATATGTTAAACACACACACATAAGAGCAAATAATTCTCACAGAGACTTGAACTATTATTTCTTATAAACTTCAGTTAAAGAATTCATCCATTTTTCCACTGCCCACAAAGATATTCTTGAAAGCATGTAAGAAAGGTGTTTTCACTCATTTTGACAACATTTCAACTTTTCAGGCAGAAAAATCTCCAAGTTGTTCATTGTTTTTAAAGTGTAAAGGTACAGGTGACTATTTTTTTCAGCAGTCCTTGATGAAGACATGGATGTTCCACGAGTTGTTTGTCCTGATGTCATTACCCCAACCCTCTGACATAGCCAGACAAGTGGCACAAGTCACAGAGGTGTCAGCCTGGAGCTCCTTAAATCAGAAACCTATGTACTGGGATCCCCAGATTCAGTAACCCCTAAACTGGATTCCCCTGAGGAACTAGCCCCTCAGCAATCATCACAAGCAATGGACAAGGCAGGATCTGACTGAGAAGCAAGGAAATCCTAGACTCCATTTAGCCCTTTAAAGCTGTCCCCTTTAAAGCTGTCCACTCTTCATGAAGAGGATGGAGCTTGTGAGAGGTGATCTGCCTCAAGAGAGAGACAAAGCCTCACTTGAACTCTGAACCTTATTGATGTAATTTGACTGCATGGAGCTATGTTGTAACTCCAGCTTGACTTGTGATATGTCTGTAGGGCAGGAGGGTACGCTTTCTACTGGGATAGCAATGGAAGGGAAGATTTAACTCTTCCCTCTTCAGCTGCATTCCCAACAAAAGCAACTTATACACCCTGCAGTTAGCCTAGGGGGAAAACCCCTCCCATTGGTGCCAACCTTTCCCCTGCCCCCATTGTGGAGAAGTGAAAGGAATAATCATTGTGGTCCTCCTGAAATTTGTCCACTGTACTTGCTTCTTAAAAAGCAAACACGTTTGTCATATCTGATGACCACTGTTCATTGTGAGGACAGATCACCTGGATCTTCACATTGTTTACTTGATAAATGGCAGGTGCAGAGCAAAGCTTTTTTCATACATTTACAAAACAACAGTTTCTCTTTCAGCTTCTAAAAGCATAGCACATGGCTTTAAAAATGTAAGACATGGATTATGACATTTCTGCATGTCCATATTGTATTCTCAATTGAATTCTCCCAAATGGAATATTAACAAACCTATTTCCTTCCAAAATCCATTAAAAACATATGTAGTACTTAACTGGTTATCATTTTTGTGCCCCAGGAATTAAGTTAATGACTATTTTTGAGGGCCAGTGCAGTTTAGTGGTTGAAAGTGCAGGAATGGGACTCGGGCAATCGGGGTTCTAGTCATCAGCTATGGAGCTCTTTGGGTGATTTGGGGCCAGTCACAGACCCTCAGCCCAACCTACCTCACAAAGGTGCTGTTGTGAGAATAAGACCGAGATAAGGAGAATTATGTGAACCATTCTGAGTTCCTTGGAAGGAAAATTAGTGTCATACATTTTTTTATTAAGAAACTTAGATGAAGAGGCACAAAAACATTTCTGATAAACCATATATGTATATGATGCGGGAGGGGGAATTCCTAATAATCCCAGTGATGTACATCAAGTTCACTGGCAGCAGGGAATTGCCAGCAGATTGCCATACCAACCATGCAAATGATACTCATGTGTATGACAAAAGGCAATCCTTCCTTCTTTGTAAAGCATCTCCTAACCTCCTTCCTGAACACACACACACACAAACACACACAGACACACTTTTCATTGCAGCCACAAATCCTGTAGGAGGAACTTCAGTGCCACACAGGGGGAAGCCAATTCTTGGGCAGCAGTCATCAAGTAGGGGAATGAGGTGAAGCAAGTTAGTGGTTAAAGCCAACCATTTTCCTAAACTCTAGCCTATTACTTATGGATTTGCATCTATACAAATGGTCATCTCAAGTGACCATTGCAGTCTAGCCTACTCCTGTTCCTCCACTATCCAATGATTTTGAATGGCTTCAATCCATTCCCTTGCCAACCAACTGTAAGCGGAATAAAGCCATACATAGCTTTGCACCAGCTCTTCCCAGCCTGTGACAGCTAAGTAAAGAAAATGATTTTTTTCCAGAACTTTTGTTAGCCAAAAATGTTTTGTGAGTTTTCAAAATCTATATTCAATGTGCAGTTTTATTCAGTGCCTAGTGAGTTTCTGTAGTGATATTCAATTGGATATTTAGAAAATTTAGCTTGCCCAGGTGCTTTGTATCATCACATCTTGGGACTCTTACACCAGCCCAGTTTCCACTACATCTCACAGCAAACCAAATCTGACCATTCAGAATGCAAAGCAAATCCTGTATTACTTAGCTGTGACAGATCCCTAGGTAGATGTTTTCTGAGTCATGATATAACAAATGTGGGACAGATTTTGCCAACAGCTTCTCTTACAGCAGGAAATCTCCCCATTAATGTTATTGTTTGTTCTTATTTGTAATGCCTAGTTTGTTACAAATCCTATGGTCCCTAGGAAGTTAATACAGGAGCCATAGGATAAATTAGAACACCCTTTGCATTCAGAGTTAAATACTAGATAATGTAAAACTGGAGAAATTCAAGTAGGAAGGAAAAGGTGAAAAAGAAGTACAAAAGAAGCACTCCTTGCTGTTCTGTCTTGGGTTCATGTTGCCAGGATGGAAGGTGAGGGTCTGTGCCATTGCCAGGAGCGGGGGGGGGGGGGGGCTCACAGGCAGGTAAGGAGGCCTGTCTTTGTAAATCTTTTCTATGCAGTGGTGGAAGAGCCATGACTGCTGTTCCTCCAGCAACAGAACTTGCCCTGGAGTTGGATCTCGTCTCCTGCCACGGCAGCATGAGCCCAACATAGCATAGGAAGTAATGGTTTCCCTTTCACTTCTTCACTTATCCCAACACTGTCAGAGTGCTTTGCCAGTTACAGGAGGAAATGGGGACTAAGAGTATTTCCAAGGTTTACTAGAATAGATGGATTTTGATGAGGATCTCAAGAAATAACACTAATGTATGTTGGAGGAGGAGGTGGAGTTCCAGCCAATTTTAGGGTCATGATATATTTTTTCCAGAGGAACAGGAAAAGCAAACGTCATGGCCAGGGATATATCTGTATATCAGAAGAGGGTCTCGGTGAGTGGATTAAGGCATAGCCTTAAGATTAGGGTGAGAAGCTGCTATCTCCTAAAGCTAATGGGAAGCCAGGATAGAGTTTTAGGAAAGGGTATCATGCAATCAGAGTTGTGAGAAAATTGAACTATTTCAGCATCAGAGTTCTGGATAGAGGTGAGCAGGCTAAGATGAAATCATGGTAAGCATGTCATGAGCAGAGCCAGCTGGAGCCGGGGGTCAGACTAGATGGACCAGGAGGCCCCTTCTGACTCACTCTTTCTATGGCAGGTCACAGAAAAGAGGACTATATCTTACTCAAGGTGAGACATCACTGGATCAGGAACCAGAGTTTTTGTGGAAGTGGTAGACAAATAGTTTGGAATAGTCGGTAACGGGCTGTTCTCTTTTACCAAAGCAGCAGTGCAAAAGGGGATCTATAGAAAAGAGCTCTCATAATCCTTAATAATAAATTACAATTATATCCTCGCTTTTCCTCTTGCAAGGAGCTCAAGGTAGCATATAATGCTCCTTTCTATAATATTTTCACAATAGTGAACTGAGTTAGGCTACAAGTTATTTGATTGGGCCAAGGTCACCCAGTGAATTTCATGGCCAAGTAGGGACTTGAACCCAGATGTCCTGGGTTCAACATTCTAACAACTGCACCACAGCGGCTCTCTGGCTAGTATTTCTGAATTATTTGAGATGCAATGATGAAAGGCTTAAAAACTATAAATTACTATGCGACCTGTTTTTGTCAATTACTGAGTTATTTAAGATAGCTAAATGAGTCAGATTTTTAAAGTCTATTAACAGCCTTTTACTACATCATGAAGCCAATTAATCTGTTTATTTTGTAGTTTATATGGCATTCCAAATGCAAAAATATTTTCACCATATTCAAGATAAGCTAAAATACAAAACAGCACAATCTATAATGCAACATGGGACACATTTGTATCACCATTTCAAGGGCTCTAAGAATGTAGGTGCCATAAAGATTCAACAAAAAGCAGTGCCATAAGAAGATTTTGACTTTTACGAAGTGGAGGTTGCCAAGAACAATCTGCAACTTGAAACCAGAATCCTACCCCAAAATATCCCTATTCTGTACAATTGTCACTACTATTGAACCCAATTGGACATGCAGGTAACAGCTCCTCAAGATGTCCTTTAGTTGAAACTTTTGCCTTATCCTCCCAAATC